GCTTGACCACATCCGATTCCAAAAGAGCAGACACCAACAACTACATCATTATGGTAAAGAGGGCCACCAGAGTCACCCTGACATTGGTCACGACCACCAGTAGGCCAGCCAGAGCACAACATGTTATCAGTGATAGTGTAACCACGGCTCGCGTAGTTATTTCTGCAAATATTCTGGTTGATAATCACCAGTTGAACGTGTTGGAGCTCTTCAGAACCGATGTTTGTGCCATGCTGTAATAAAAATTATATATGTATTATATACTTCAAACAAACCGAATGATTTAACTATGTCATATACCGTGCAAAGATACACTTACGAGTATGTCACCCCATCCAGCAGCCCAAACAGCTTGGTTGTCAGCGACAACATAGTTGGAGCCAGCGATAGGAGCTGCACGGACATTGTCGTTGAAGGAAATAGCGAAAAGAGAGCGTACTATAGCGATGTCATTGTCCATAGTTCTATGATTGTATAAGTCATGGACAATCAGCTGCAGGACAAAGTGAAGATCACCACCACTGTGCGCCCAGGTGGAGCCTACACGAATACGCCATCTGCCAACTGGATCATCACTGCAAATTAAATTAAGTATTTATCATCGACAACCCTTGAAAATTCATTGTTTAATTATGGGTCTCATCTATAAAAGAGGAGTAAGTCATATGACTTACTCCTCCTCCATGCTTGGTGCGTGGCTTAGAGATCGCCACTTATATGATTAGGTTGAATAGAAAACGCTGTTGGCCAGTGTTTATTAAACATGTAATCTGTTAGTCAACTTTAACAACGTCAGGGATAAAGGTAATACAATGATCGCAAGGAGGTATGGCATAGCAAGGAGCTCCACGGACGCTTCTTCCGGGCCCTTCATGGGCCCAATGTAGATTTTCTAGCGTCCGTATCTTGGCTACGATTCAGTAATCTCTTTGGAGAAACTGAAGGATTTGTCTGTGCAATAATGGACGAAGTTATCCTTACGAATAACTATCGGAAATATATAATTAAGGATGGGACGGTTGACATATGTCGGGCATGTCATAGTCCTGGTGAATCCATTAGACATATAATTTCTGGTTGTGGTCGTTTGGCTAACAGTGAATATTTGCATAGGCATAATCAAGTAGCCAAGATTATCCATCAGCAACTTGCTTTACACTATCGACTTGTTGAATCTGAGGTACCGTACTACAAGTATGTGCCCGACCCAGTTCTGGAAAATGACCATATCACATTGTACTGGGACCGGTCTATCATTACTGACAGGACTATTGTAGCCAATAAACCTGACATAGTGGTGATAGACCGACAAGTACGCCGCACGATGATAATCGATGTCACCATTCCCCATGACGAGAACCTCGTGAAAGCTGAGAAAGATAAACAAATAAAATATCTAGACTTAGCTCACGAGGTTGTCGACATGTGGAGTGTGGATTCGGCTATCATTGTGCCGATAGTCGTGTCGGCCAATGGGTTAATCCCTAAAAGCCTCGACATCCATCTTAGGAGGCTGGCGTTAGGTGGATGGATCAAGGGCCTGATACAGAAGGCAGTTCTCCTAGAAACGGCACGTATCGTGAGGAGGTTTCTGTCTCTGGAGCCCTAACCACCGGTAGCTTGGACCATGCTCCCGCTACTGGTCGGCTCCTATTTTTTATATTTTTAAATATTATTTTTATTTTATAAGTAGTGTTTAAAAATGTAATTTATAGAGAATTTTAAATAAATATATGTATACAAATATTATGTTTATTAGCAAAAAGCTTGACATTACATTTTTATATGGCCATAGACTCCACACTATGATTTTCTGTGTCACTTTCATTCAGCAAAATAAATAAAAACAAAATCAATAAATTTAAGCCGGTAGACGAATAGACGGACGACGGACTGATGGTAAGCAATCGGCGCCGCCTATAGACACCCGAAACACCAGAAGTGTTACAAGTGCGTTAGCGGCCTTTTGGGGATGATTGTGGCGGATACGAGGATCGGAGAGATTGAGGAAGGGAGTAATCAGGCCTCCGGCAACCTCACTTACACGACATAATACAATGCAATTGTTGTTTCACGTCGGTTTTCTGTAAGGTCGTTTAACATTAATTTGATATTCATTATTAATTAGTATTTATTTGTAACTTGAAATTTTTGATGCTCAACTTACCCAACACAGTGAGCAGCGGTGAGGATGGAACGGCTGTTCAAGATGGTACCACCGCACGCATGCCAATAGTTACTCCAATCCCATGAATACAAAAGACTGGCAATGGTTGGGTATTGGTCAATTGAGGTCGATGATCCGCCCACAATCCTCTGCGGATTTGAAGGACTGGCTGTAACAAAAAAAAAACAGTTAGGCACTTATGAACTAGGAAGCTAGGCGCATTTTGCAGAATTCTCTCCGTTATTAAAAGTTTAGACGTCTATCAATATATTAATATCATTAGGTTTGTGTATGCATAATAATACACTTTAATAATATAGGAATCCTGAAAACAGAAAATATTTTTTTTTAGAAGGAGTTAAAACTAAATCAATGTTTGATTATTATTATACTATATTTATGTTATAAATAACTTTTGTGAGACATACTAAATTAATTATTATGTTTATCGGCTTACTCACGTAATTATTTGACGTGAAACTTGACTAGTTTCAAGCCATGCTAGAGACCGATATTCATGAGCAGCATTCCGCAACCCGCGACGCACGACACATACTAGTCGAGTTCCTTATCAAATAATTACGTGAGTAAGCTAAAAAACATAATAATGAATGTATTATTGAACTTTTGATAATAATTACCTGTAACAGCCACAATGGAAATAGCCAGAAAAATAAACACACGCATATTTTCAGCACTTGTAGAGGAGTGTGGGGGCTTGTAGAAAAGTGTGACCATTTTTATCAAATAATGATTAATATAGTCCTCGAGTAAGGAGATTATAGGTATGTAATCTTATTATCAAAACTTCCACAGTTTTAATATTATAATAATAATTAGTCACTGAAATATTTGTTCGGCTACGTGTATTGTACCGAAATAGATTTAGTTTTATTCATTCAGTCGTCAAGTCAACGTCAAAAATAGTAAGTAATTAGCAAAACATCAAATTGATAACACAATTGCTTGCTATGCTGTGTTTTGATTAGTTACATTTTTGTTACCATATTTAGCAGCATATATATTGTTTTTTTTTGTTATTTATACCATACATATTTAACTAAACATCGCGATTTACTCACATGAAAGTTCTGAGAAAAGCTCTACTTACTTCGGAGCCACATAGGGACTCTTCCTCATGAGCAGCGTGGTGGTCGCGGCGATGTCGTGCAGCCTACTCTTTCACGTGCGTAACCCGCGATTTTTAGTTAATTTAATATGTCAAACGATAGTTATTATAAAAACATACAATATTTATTATAATTCATCATATTTATACACCAATTAAATAATTTAGAACAATGCAAAATTTTGCTGGAATCCATGGTATTTTTTTTAAGGGGGGAAAATCATCGAATGACTGCTCCCGCCTGGGTGAGGCGGGAGGGAATGTCAGACTCTTACTGACTAAAAACCACCCCGTTCCTTCTTCTGCACTTCGAGTCGGAGCCCCGGTTACCCGTTAGGTTCTCCACGACCGTTAGGTTCTCCGCGACAAAATAACGTCACACGGTATTCCCAGGCGGTCACCCATCCAAGTACTAACCGCGCCCGATGTTGCTTAACTTCGGTGATCAGACGAGAACCGGTGCTTTCAACATGGTATGGACGTTGGCGAAACCATAGTATAGGGAGTGTATTTGGAATCTTTACGAATACTTACGAATTGCTTCTAGAAAAAGTGCAAAAAGCATTTCTCTGATGTTTGTACAGACGAGTGAATGGTTATTATCCTTACTTATACCCAACGATATTTTTACTTGGTTGTTTAGGGAATTAGAGTATAACTCTTTAAAAGTTAGTCGGGAAATGAGACAAAGTTTTATAAATTTGAACCTGACAATGACCAGAACTGATCAATGAGTTCCTTTGTATTTTTACTCCTGACAATCAATGTCGCACTAGAAAGTACAAGTAATTTGCCATACTATCTTGCAGAACAGTTCGTAGAGCCAAATCTCCATTACCGCGAACAATGAAACTCTTAAACCGATTCCTGGACTCAAAGCCAGAGGGTGATGTGTTTTCGAGTTAAAGAAGATTATTTTTTGCCTAAATGCTTGAAGTTTTGAAAAAGAGATGGATGAATGATAGTAACCGATAATAATTAAGTATTTAAATTTTGTATTTTATTTTTCATTTAATTGTGTGTGTATTGAGTAGTAATTGGCATTTGTATCGTTCTATTCAAAATAATTAAATAAATATCATCAAAAAAAATGTTTTATAAGCGGTTTCGTATTGGAATGGGTCAAAAATAAATCCCTTTTAGAGTCAAAGTAGTTTATTAACGATGCAGTCATTTACTAGGTAGCTTATAACTCATAACTGAAACTCTTATTATAGAGTTAGGCAATTTAATAAAATTCAGTAAAATTGGTGCAAAAATGTACCGGTTTTCTTGGTTAATTTGAATACTTTGTAATTATGAAACTTGTTAGCAAAATGTTTTTCATAAAGGAGCCAGAAGCACTTACACGAGGACAAAATGAAAGCTTAGTTACTTAATTATATGTCTTTTAATATAAAATATTGGTGAGCCTACTCAGTCATAATGAGCTTCAATGAATACTTTATCGTGATTTCGTGTTCGTGAAAACAACTATTTTATTTTTTCATGAATATAATTTATGATTTCTATTTATAGGTCAAAGAAAGTATTTCACCCAGCTGTAATTTTCTAAACAGGTTAGATATCGTCAATCATTATAAATCTACAAATCTACAAAAAAGTGATCACATAGTAAAAAGTAAAATTTAAATTATATTTTGTCATTTAATGAAATTCAAATGTGCTTCTAAAAATATTTATTGATTGTAAAGTCACGTAACAAAAGCTTATAAAATTATGCATTGTTGGCAATCCAAGAGGCAAAGCGAGACACGCGAGCGTTGACTCCAGGGAAATTAGCTTCACCACAGCCGATACCGAAAGAGCAGACACCAACAACGATGCCGTTGTGGTAGAGAGGACCGCCAGAGTCACCCTGGCACTGGTCGCGACCACCAGAGGGCCAGCCAGAGCATACCATGTTGTCGGTGATGACAAGTCCACGGCTAGCGTAGTTGTTTCTGCAAACGTTCTGGTTGATAATCAGCACCTGAACGTGCTGAAGATGCTCAGAGCCGACGTTTAGACCAGGCTGTAATAAGAAAAAATAAACTTCATGGTTCAAAAAATTTAAATCAATTGAATGTTTTTGAATACCTTAAATTTAAATGAACTGCACTGTTGATGCGGTGGCTGGGCAATATGGTTCGATTCCCGCACGGAACAACATTTTGTGTGATCCACAATTGTTGTTTCGGGTCTGGGTGTCATGTCTATGTGAACTTGTATGTTTGTAAACGCACCCACGACACAGGAGAAAATCCTAGCGTGGAGCAATGTCTAAAAAAAAATAACTCACGTAAACGTCACCCCATCCAGCAGCCCAGACAGGTTGGTTGACGCCAAGGTTGTAGTTAGATCCGGCAATTGAAGCAGGTTGGACATTGTTGTTGAAAGAGAAGACGGAGGCCGATCGTAGGATACCGATGTCGTTGTCTAAACTTCTAGAGTTATATGAGGGGTGAACAATGATCTGGGCAACATTATGGACGACACCACCGCTGTTGGCATATGAGGAGCCGACACGGATGCGCCATCTGTTAGGGGCGTCACCACTGCAAAAATAAGAATTTATGATTAAAGCACCATACATTTTAAAAATTTGCTGGGATTTTAGAATTTTTTACTTACGCAATGCAGTGAGCAGCGCTAAGGATGGAACGGTTGTTCAAGATGGAACCTCCACAATACTGCATGTACGCATTCAAGTTCCGTGAGTATAGGAGAGAGACGATGCTAGGGTACTGGCTAATGTTAGCCAAGCTACCGCCAACAATCCTTCCAGGATTTGAAGGGACAGCTGGAAGAACATATTAGTTGCATGAATAACATTTCATTATTATAAACTTAACTGCATGGTTAGCGCAGTATTTTTTTTATGTGAAGGGCCGACGTTTGGCGACTATCTCGCCTAGTGGAAAGTGATATGATACGGTCTATGATGGAGGACGTCGATTCCTAAGCATCCTTTTCGCTCGGGACTTAAAGACGCCCACTATGCCCTTCAAGAAACAGAGAGTCTGGCAAAGAATTCCACTCCAGCTAATTAGCAACTTTGCAAGTTCGACTTTAAAATATTTATGAATTATCCTAATTTGAACAATGGTTTATAGTTGCAAACCCCTGTGTCAAAAAGATTGTTATATTTTGCATCACGTGAGATATACTTTTGATCATTGAGTAATCATTGAGATCATACTACAGTGTAAGAAATAGGTATTATACTAAATTATTTTTTAATTGTAATAATTTCTGTAAAAATATTTTATTGTTTGTAATAAAATAATTAAATTAATGCATACCTGTGACAGCCGCGAAGCAGAGAGCTAGGAGAACGTAGGCCCGCATGTTGAGGATTCCAATGAACGAGTATACTCAGTACTATAATTGCTGGTATTTATACTCTGAATTGCAGACATGATAGGGATGGGCAAAAAGATAAAAATACACCACCTGTTGTTATCATTAGACTTTAATATGTCCAAATATATAACAATCAAAATTTTAATCTGATAGGTAATTTCGTCGCGACAGTTGCGCGTCATTTGGTCACAGTGCCTAGGTGAAATCATCGGTGCACCTATGTAACATAGTTTTGCTATTCACATAGTTTCTTTTTTATTTATTAGTTTATTTTTTGAAGTGGCTTCTGTGATTGCTCTTAAAATTAGTACTTAAAATGTAGTGGTATCTTAGGTAATAAATAAAAAAGGTATGTAAATAAAAAATAGGTGATATAAAAAAGAGATACTTAAAAGCAATTAAACACCGAAAGAATTGACGATAATAACATTATTACTATAAAAATATTTTTGGGCAACTTATTCTAAAAATTCCTTTTCCTCTTATAGTAACTGCCTAAATAGGTACTGCCAATATTTTTATGTGACACAAATTTTATTATAAAATATAATGCGATAAGTATAATGTCCTAAATATACATTCAATAAAGAGTGAAAAAATAAATTATAGTCCTATGAAGACCAGTATGAAAAAAATGGGGTGAAAATAAAAGAAAAATAAAAGAATCGGGTCAATTGAGTTGGTCAATTAGATCCGTGCGCAATTTAAGGGTAAAAACTTTTAAAAACTTTTAAAAACTTTTAAAAACTTTTAAAAACTTTTAAAAAACTTAAGTATTGTAAGTATTAAAAATACAATTTTATATGTTTTTGATATGTTTCCATTAATTATAACCTCAAAATGTGTGGAAAAAAGCAAGTAATATTATTTTTATTCTTAACATGGCATATAATAATATCTAACTTAGCAAATTAGTTGAAAACTGTTGTTTTAGATATTATCAAAAGGAAAGTTGGTTGAAGGAAACATATCTCACAATTAAAAAAACATTTTTAATTGTCCTTCTTTTTAATTGTAAATAATTTAAACACATCTTAATTTTCAATCAAAAATTCAAAGAGGTGAACTTTTTTCCCTCAAATATATCAAACCTGTTTTATTTATTGGAGTGTTTTCTTTCTCAATGTCAGTCAGTGTCAATGTTAACAAATATTTTCACTAGTTGGTATTCCAGTAGACAAAAATATTAAGATTGCATAATGATCGTAATGTTAAACAATTTTTTTTTAATTGCGTTGCTCCACGCTGCGATTTTTTCCTGTATCGCGGCTGCGTTTACCAACATTTACTACATACACATCACACCCAGACCTGAAACAACAATTTGTGGATCACACAAAGTGTTGCTCGGTGCGGGAATCGAACCCGCTACACGTTGCGCGGCAGCGGCTTGCCCAGCCATGGCGCTAAATGTGCAGTCAATAAGTAAAACATATTTAAACTGTCAAACACCAAGCGGTCACCGGTGACCGCAACCTATTGTTCTATAATTGTGTCTACAAAACCGGTACTCGACGAGTTAATAAATAATGCGAAATTGAAGTTTGCTTCGGCAGGAATGGCGCTTGACCGGAGCTATACAGGTGATCCGTCTGCTCGTTTACCGGCTTATGTCATAAAAAGTGAAAAATTGATCTTTGTTATGATAATTTTTCAGTAAAATACCCTCCCATATTTTCTACTTATTGCTTGCCTTACTACTTAGTCCTTGCTCTGGCATGATCAAAATCAAAATTAGTTTACTAATTTGCAAAAAAGAGTACTTACCTCATTTTTGGATTAGGTAGCAATGAGACAGTCATAATTATGCTGTATGTTATAAAATACCAATTTTTAAATATAAGTTTTTTACAGATAAAAATAAAAAAGAGTTGAAAAGAATTTGTAACAAAATAATTTCGTAAATACAAAATTATTAAAATCTGATTATCTTTTAAATTCTCAAAAGTATGTAAGAACCATCCTAGAATTCGAACGACATCTAAACTAAATTACATTAAAAATGTAACTTTACTTTTATAATTATTAGTGGTTATGAAGTATAGTAAATTGTGAAATTTTTTTTTTTCAAATTATCTATATATAATTTTTATAAACCGTGTAATGTGCCACTGATTGTTTTCTCAAAACACATACATACATTTAAAGTACATACATTTATCGCTAACCATTACACTCTTATAACTCAGTACCGAGACTCGAAAAGAGTACCTACACCTTTTTTTCTTTAAAAAAAAAATGCTTTGCCCCACACTAGGTATTTCTCCTATGTCGTGGGTGCGTTTACAAACACACAAGTTCACATACACATTACACCCAGACCCGGAACAACAAACTTTGGATCACACAAAGAGTTGTTCCGTGCGGGAATTGAACCAGCGACGCTTTGCGCGGCAGCTAGTTGCCCAACTACGCCAACCGTGCAATTTTCTCGGTATATTTACGTGAGTAGCCATTGTTTTTAGCTTTAATGAGACATATCTCACGATAGTTATTATAAAAATAATATACGCATTGCCAGACATTCTTAAGTAATATGACAATTTTCGCTTAACTAATTTACTCGGCCCGATTTACCGATAGCGTTATTATTTATGCATACAAGTTTATGCATAATTAACGTACAATTTACAGTGAGCCGAGCTATTTAAATATACAGAGAAGAAGATAAAGATTGACTCAATACAGAGACATCAGTAGTAGCTATGGTTACACTAAATTATATAGTTTTTAACGAAGCCTTTTCTTTTGTACCAATTAGTCGGTTTAGTAGCAAACCAATGGTCAACACTCTCTGCACTGAGTTTACTAAAATATGTTATGAATTACATATTGTTTTTAAAAAATCACAGTAGTAGCACGGAGTCTGGAATTGTGTCCGATGTATATGGCAGTAAGCTCACCCCCTATTACATGGGGTTCATAGCATAAATAGTGAAAAGTAGGTGTTACATTGTACATTTAAATTTACAGTGACATTAAGTGCCGTAATGTGCACCTCTGCCTACCCCTTCGGGGATAAAAGGCGTGATGTTATGTTATGTTAAGATCTTACTAATATTATAAATGTCAAAGTTCTCGTGGTTGTGAATTGTGGGTATGTTTGTTACTCATTCACGTCAAAACGGCTGATGGGTTCGAGTTGAAATTAGGCATGACAAAAACGGGGATAGATTATTGTCTGGAATAATACACTTTTTATACAACGAGAATGCGGGCAAAGCTGCGGGCCGAAGCTAATAGTCCAATAGAACATTGACCTTTGACTGCCTACAACAACTGTAAAAGGTTAAACCTCCACTGGTGTCAGTCACTATTGACCGATCCGTGTTTTAATAACAGAAAAAATAATGCTTTGTATTTATTTATTAGTCGCAAAATTACATATTAGTTTACAAAACATTTAAAAGATTATGCATTAGATGAAATCCAAGAGGCGTAGCGTGACACACGAGCGTTCACACCAGGGAAAGCAGCTTGAGCGCATCCAATACCGAAGGAACAGACACCAACAACTACGTTGTTGTGGTAGAGAGGACCGCCAGAGTCACCCTGGCACTGGTCGCGACCACCAGAGGGCCAGCCAGAGCACAACATGTTGTCGGTAATGGCAACACCACGGGAAGCGTAGTTGTTTCTGCAAGTGTTTTGGTTGATTATCACGAGCTGAACGTGACGGAGTTGCTCAGAACCGGCATTTGACCCTTCCTGAAATTAAAATTTCAATTATTAAGCTTCCCATAAACTAAAACATACCAGTTTAATAAATCAATTGTCAAAAAGTACTTACGAAAGTGTCACCCCATCCTGCAGCCCAGACAGCTTGGTTGTCAGCAGGCCAGTAATTGGCACCAGCGACGGAGGCAGCGCGGACATTGTTGCTCATGATGAAGTTGGCGGAGGAGCGCAGGATAGCGATATCATTGTCTAGGGTTCTAGAATTGTATGAGCCGTGAACGATGTTCGAAGCGCAGTTGTAAACATTACCACCGCTGTTGGCCCAAGAGGAACCGAGACGAATGCGCCATCTGTTGGCTGCGTCACCACTGCAAAAATATTAATAATTTAGAAAAAAAAAATAACATTTTAAATAGAACTGTAATGTAGAATTTATACTTACTGGGTGCAATGAGCAGCAGTAAGAATGGTACGCTGGTTCAAGATGGTACCTCCACAAGCCTGCCAATATTGACTCAAGTTCCATGAATACAGGAGAGAGGCGATGCTAGGGTACTGGCTAATATTTGCCAAGCTACCACCAACAATCCTTTGGGATTTTGAGGGGACAGCTGAAATAATATTTTTAATTGTATAAGTCAATGCTAGTTACTAATAAAAAATTTGCATAGTGGTACAACGTGGCCCGAGTTTTATTTCGGGTGTTTAACCCTGCTGAATAATTTAATGATATGTCATTAGGCTACTTAAACCCGAAATTAATGAATTTGTAGTTCGTATAACACGCCCAATAAATACACGATAAGTATGAAGTTTTGCTGATCTAGCTTGATCCAATTTTCAAAGTGTTGATAGGGATGCAACTTCGGTAATGCTTAACTTCATATTTAAGTGTGGGAGAGCCATGTTTCAGTACAAATGGGCCCACTCGACCGGAGTGATACCACGGCCTCATGGAAGACCGACGAGAAACAGCACTTGCGTTGTGTTTCGTCACGTGATTGAGGTTACCGGAGGCCCAATAAACCCCCCTTTCCAAATCCCTAAATCACAAACAATCATCAAATTCCTAATCCCAAAAGGCCAGTACCGCACTTTTAACGTCTCTGGTGTTCCAGTAGTCCATGGGCGACGCCGATTGCTTCCCATTAGGGGATCCGACTGCTCTTTTACTAGCTTATTCCATAAAAAAAGGAACTTTGAAGAGCAGTACGTGTGATCATCACACCACCATTAACCCAAGCACATTGTAATTGGACCCTGAGATCCCATGTATGGAAGCAAACACAAAAATAATTATAACAAATACCTGAAACAGCCGCGAGGCAAAGAGCCAGAAGAGCCAAGACACGCATATTGTGGGTTTCAATGAAGAAGTGTATTTCAGTACTGTAATTGTTGGTATTTATACTCAAAGTTGATGACTAGCGAATGATAGGTAAAAAGATTAAAAGGCACTAGTCTTAATGTTATCATTTGACTTTCATTACCATTGCCTAAATATATAACTTGAAGTAATCAATAATCACGAAGAGGTATAAAATTAAATCTGATAGGGCTTTTGTTGTGGCAGCTATGTGTCATTTGATTATTGTGTCTTACACGGAATTGACATAATTATTTTTAGAAACATGTGTTCGCTTATTTGACGCATACTTTTAATTTTCACATCGTTATTATGTGTTTCAATTAAACTTTATGGAATATTTCTGAAATGTTTTCTGAAAATTCCATAACTAGGTAGCAGACTACAATACTGGGTCCCAGACTCCCGACGTTGCAACACCTGTTACGACACCTCTTTTGTGATAAGTGATACCTACGTAAGAGTCTCTCGAGGAAGATTCCCGTCACCCCTGAGCTGCAGCTTGGATAGGGTATTTCCTGTCCGGTCGGTACCTGAGTGAGCGTGAAGAAGAGGCGCTCCTGTTCGTGCGCTTGCGTGAGTAATACGAGCATTGCAGCCGTTTACGCTACCACTCCAGTCATGGCATCCTTTCTTCGTTTTGGTGAATAGCACGAATTTAGTAATAGCGGAAACCAAACCAGGAGAGCTGTCTCCTCATCGTAATTATAGCTAGCTGGAGTTTACATTCAATTTGCTTACATTTGATTTCCACTCCAGCAGTGCAATTCTGTAACTTACCGATTCTATATCAGTTATAAGTTTCGAGTTTCACTTCGCTTCGATATTTTGAACTAACTATTTACAGAATACTGCCTCGTTGGCCGAAGTGGTCGCAAGTGTGACTGCCAGGTAAGAGGTCTCGGGTTTTATTACTAGGTTGGGCAAAGTATTACTGGGTTTTTAAAAATCTCAGTAGTAGCACGGAGTCTGGAAATGTTCCCGGTATATGGCAATAAGCTCACCCCTTATTACATGGGACTCATAACATAAATAGTGAAAAGTGGGTGTTACATTGTACAGTGGCATTTTTTATTTTAATAATATTTAACTCATCGAGTACCGTCATTATAGACACAATTATAGAACAATAGGTTGCGGTCACCGGTGACCGCTTGGTGTTTGACAGTTTAAGTGCCGAAATGTGCACCTCTATCTACCCCTTCGGGGATAAAAAGGCGTGATGTTATGTTATGTATTTACAGAATATGGAACTGAATTTGAATCTGTTTACTTTCGAAATGTGCTCTTTTGCTTATGTGAGCTGCGATTTCGAATTGGTGTGATACAGAATTACACTGCAGCACGTCTCAAAGGTTCTATTTCTGTTCCATTTTTTTTTTTAATTACTAACTGTTACTGAACCGCTCTGATAGTAGGTTAGAAAAATTTAATCAGAAAATCGTTTTGATTAACTTATAAAAGAAAACAGAATTGATTAGATCTAGTCTGAAGTTTCTTTTTGATAAGACACTTTTTTGAGGGCGAAAATCATCCAATGATTTCGCCCTCAAAAAGTGTCTTGTTGAGCTATTGGGCTTGTTAGACAAGTTAATATAACAAGGTAAGAAAGTACTACATGGTTTGAAAAGTTTGATCACTTAGTTCGCGAAAAAACAAGAAATTGCTGATTAAATATAATTTTGTCAAATATTTCAAAAATTTTGTTAAATAATAATGTCCTGAAAATTAATTAGTTACATAACTATAACATATACCCTTCCTTGGTGATAACCATGTTAAATTGGAAATGCAATTGTTATGAGTAACGACAGATATTATTGCACACTGCAAAATTATAGTTAGTATTGCCTGATATGATACGGTTTCAAAATGCTTCTAATTGTTGTTTTGCAAAAAAAAAATAGAAATAATGACAGAGGTATGAAAATTTTAAATCTAATTACTCCGTCAGTTAGTTCATGAAAAATATTAGACTCGTATTTTTTATTTTGTCGTAGGTATAAGAAAACAGTACTTAGATAAAATGAATTAAAGTTTAGGAGTGAGCCAGCTATGACATTTTTAAGTATGGAACGTACACAAAAGTGACGTCACATGCTATTTCCAATCAAAATACCGTCGGAAATGAATTTCCTCCACATAATCCTCCTACTCAAGTACATTAAACTTTAATTCGTTTTATCAATTTTGTTTTCTTATACGACAATATAAAAATACGTGACTTATATTTATTCGTTACTTACCTAACGGACTGTTTAAAGGTTTTTTTTATGGTTTAAGCCGGTAAACGTCCAGACGGATCACCTGATGGTAAGCAATCGGCGTCGCCCATGGACACCTGGAACACCAGAGGCGTTTCGTTGGAGATTCAGGGATTGGGGAGGTTGGGGAAGGGGAGGCGGGTAATTAAGCCTCCAGTAACCTCACTTACATGACGAAACATAACATAATCGTTGCTTCACGTCGGTTTTCTGTGGGGCCATGGTATCATGGCTCTCCCACACTAATTTCTATACTCTGTCATCATTGCTATGAAGCCATTTGTCTAGATCATCAACATAGCTGCACTTATGGTCAGTCGGTCAACGCTTTGTATGCTATAGAGCACAATTTTCCTAAAATATGCAATTATTATTATAAGGAAAATTAAAAAAAAAACTCGTTGTTTATTTATGTTATTTGTGCAATCCGTGATGTAATCTTTAGATAGTTATAGATTAGAGTCAGGTATTGTGAGTCACTACTGCCTACGAATTACATGTAGATAAATATTTAAGAACATAAATACACGCCCATTGTGGAGGAATTGAGTGTATTAATATATTATTATCACTAGTTATATAATTAACATCACTCAAAGAGCTGATTGGCACTGGCAATAATGATGGCGATCAGGAAACGAAACACTCGTTTGTCAAAATCGCTAGCCATTGTAGCCAAGAGATGATTCCACAAACAGTGGTCGCTGCAAAGCTGATAGCATTTTTTATGGAATAGTTTAAAGGCAAGCAATCGGCGTCATCCATGAACCCCCACAACACCAAGGGATTTGCAAGTACGTTGCCGGTCTTTCGGAGAAGGAACCTCACTTTAACCTCATTTGTTTTGCGAGTCCATGATATTACTCTGATTGAGCCATTTGTGCTGAAGCTTAACTTAAACAAGGTGACATGAGTTTGTTGTTAATAAAATAATTTAAAAAAAAATCTGTTTTTTTCTTTAATGTAAAAACATTGTCTTAATTTATTTATAATAGTCTTTAAAACATAATGTTTGTCTTCTTACGAGTTGGAGGAAATCCAAGTAGTGTAGCGAGAAACGCGAGCGTTCACACCGGGGAAGTTAACTAGACCGCAACCCAAACCGAAAGAGCAGACACCAATGACGATGCCGTTGTGATAAAGAGGACCACCAGAGTCACCCTGGCACTGGTCGCGACCACCAGAAGGCCAGCCAGAGCACAACATGTTAGCAGTGATGGTAATACCAACAATGCGGTAGTTGTTAGCACAGTTGTTCTGGTTCATAATCACGAGCTGAACGTGACGGAGCTGCTCGGAACCGGAGCTGGCACCAGACTATAAAATAGAAAAAAAATATTTTAATATAAATTAACAAATAACAATAAGTATAGTTTTGCTTTCAACCTTTTTGTTTTTTTTATATAGACAATAATAGATGACGCTATTGTATTTTCACGAACCCAATCAGAGGTTTACATTTACAGCTCCTTCCTTAAGTATAAATATGTAAATGATGATATCACTTGGTTGTAACAAAAACAAATTAAAAAGGTCGATTTAAAATTGTTGATTACATAATCATAGATTGAAGGAATCATATTAAACCCATAATCTTAATTAAAATAGCAGCTCAAAGTAACTTACAGCAGTTGTACCCCATCCTGCAGCCCAGACAGCTTGATTGTCAGCGACGTTGTAGTTGGCACCAGCGATGGAGGCTGCGCGGACATTGTTGTTGAAGGAGAAAGTGGAGGCGGAGCGGAGGATGGCGATATCATTGTCCATAGTATTAGAGTTGTACGAGCCGTGGACGAGATTCTGGTTGATATTATGTAGGACACCACCACTATTGGCCCAGGTAGAGCCTAAGCGAATACGCCATCTGCCGACCGCATCACCACTGCAAGAAAAATCATAGTACATAAAAGTTGCTTTGTTTGAACACACGCATCTTCGGATAAACAGGTTCTTATTAAAAAGTTGTTATATAGATTCAGAAAATATAAAACATTACGTTACAACAATTAGTAGCCGAGCAGTGAATGAAACAACTTAAGGGCAACGTTTAGTTAAATATAAGATGTGAGGTACTTACTGAGTACAATGAGCAGCTGTGAGGATAGAACGATTGTTGAGAATGGTACCTCCACAGGCCTGCCAGTAAGTGCTCCAGTTGTTGGTGTATAACAGAGCAGCGATGGTTGGATATTGATCAATGGTGGTGACCGAACCACCAACGATCCTCTGAGGATTCGTAGGGACGGCTGAAAAAGAGTAATTTATTTTTGTTATTTTTTTTTATATCTTAACAATGTAGTATACAGAATACGATACATTTGCTCAGCAGCCTCCCCATGGGTATCTTTAGAGTCTACTAAAAGGGACTACATTTTATTTGTGCGTGACAAACTTAACCCTTTTCAACTGTTGTCTCCAAGTACAATAGAAATTATAGCAAATCACTATTTGGTAAAGGAGACACATTACTCGGACAGTGGACTCTCCCAAGTTGTTCATGTAGTTGATATATTATGAAGTAAACAAGATAAAAATAGGCTATTTGAGTATTTCGAATATTTTATGACATACATTTAAAATAGAATAAAACATACCTGTTACTGCCGCAACTAAAATGGCCAGAATACTGAGGACACGCATGTTGATTGACTAATTGCTCAGAGACTTGGCAATGGGCATTTATATTCACAAAGATCGATAACATGGGAGCTAAGCTAAGATTATTTAATCTCAGACTCAGATAAGCTTATATTTGTTTCTTAATTGATGACGTAGAAATATGGTGCAAGCACACTTTTCCCTTATCTATCAATACCAATTTGAGATAGCCGTGAGTTTTGAACTTTGCAATTTTAGATTCATATAATCTTATACTAATTAATAAAATTACATTTTTAATTTTATCAGTTTATATATGATTGATGTTAAATTTTCATCAGGCCATTTATACTACGTGGCAATCACTCTTGCGATTTCTTACTAAATGTGGTGGTCTCACTAAGTGATGAGGTACATATTTTTATTTATATTTAGGGTAAGATAAGTTCAGGGTAGATGCCGCAGTGGGATAGATCACTTTATTTTTATTTCACTATGTTAAGAGCACTGTGAGAGTTAAATTTTACTGTAAGTAACTAGTCCTGTCCCCACAAACCTCCGTGGCAGATTGTGGACTGGAGAACACGCGTTTCGACTGTGTGATTAAAAATCTTCCGAGGCGAGACGACAAAAGGCGCCATAATAAGATTCGTTAGTATTTTTAACAGTGTATTTTTCCTTCGCCGATAATGTCTATTTTTTCCATTAGTCTACTTGCATTGAAGATTAGCCTATGTAAATTGATTGATTTTATAGTAATTAAAACTCACTTTTTAAAAACTCTAACGGACTAAAAACTAAGAACCAAGAACAGGAGAACTCCAAGGTGGGAGTAGATACTGGATGACGGTTATAGGTATACATTTAAAAATGATTCTCAATATACAAAACAATAGAGTAAGAAATGCAATAATAGATGCGTTCAGAAAACTATCAGCAAAAAGTATTTATTTCAGTTAAAAGATTTGAAATCTGGGTTAGGTCAAAGAAAGTTATATTTTGGGGTCAAAGTGCTTTAACACGAAATGATTACTTACTTACAGCTTTATTGACGAAAAAAATATTAGTTGCTTTGTAAATAAAAAACCTACAACTCAGTATTCACTTTTCTTATCTATTTTGTATTTAATTTGAAACATCTGCTAAAACATAACGGCAGATACATATTCATTTAAAACTGATGGTATAAAGTATATTTAAAAATATTAAACTCTTTTTTTGTTCTTCGAATTTGTGCTTTTTTTACTTTTTTACGAGATAAATCTACGTGTTAAATCTAAGGTAATTATCAAAATAATACACATTGGCTTTGGTCACGAAATTTTCTTTTGTTATTTTTTCTTTATAAAAGACTAGCTTCTGCCCGCGACTTCGTACGCGTAATCCTATTTTTTCCCGTCCCCGTTCGTGATTTTCGGTAAAAAGTAAAAAAAAAAATTGGTCAAAAAGTATCCTATGTCGGTCTCCTGGCTCTAAGCTACTTCCCTACTAATTTTCAGCCAAATCTATTCTGCCGTTGTTGAGTTATAAGTGGTGTAACTAACACGACTTTCTTTTATATAGAGGTATATAGATTTCAGTGAATAGCGGACTAAAGTCAACTACTAAGGTCTTAAGGCATTCTTTGACAGTCAACCATACGTAAGATAGGGAAGTGCGTGCATGCATGCTTAATTGCATGCCTACTGGCGAAACTATTTATAATAATATAAACTAGCTTTTACCCGCGGCTTCGCTCGCGTCGCAAAAGGATAAAAAGTAGCCTATGTGATATATATTTTCTACTTAAACCCTAAGGTTGACTGGTAGAGAATGCCATATAGCATTAGGTTCGCCTTATGTGCCATAAATAAATTATGTACATTAAAGAATAAATAAATATATATATATTATATATACATACCAATACACACAGCGCCATCTATACCAATAATTTCGTTTTCCCTCGAGAATATCAATTTTTTCCGGGATAAAAACTACTACCTATTATTACCTATTAGTACCTATTATTTAATCTACACTTCTAACTTTACGCCTGCAAAATTTCAAAGCAATCGGTCTAGTAGTTACGGCGTGAAAGTGGAACAAACAAACAAACTCACTTTCTGATTTATAATATTAGTAAGGATGTATGCTTCATCCTGTATTATGTACGTATTACCTATGTTTGCAATAAATAACTTTGACTTTGACTCTGACTTTGATGTCCAAAGAAATGAAGTGCCAGAACACAATAAAAATATTTGTTAAATAATATAATAATATTATGTATACTACTTTAAATATTACTTCAAGTTTGGGTAATTTATCGTAGTCAAAAAGAAACTACTTCATACCTTTCAATCATATTAATTTCATTTATTGATATGAACATATATTTATGTAGTTCATTTGAGAAATTGCTAGCATTTTTTAGAAATAATTATATTATATTGCTATCTCACATAAAATCCATAGAAAAGTATTGGTTTTCACATTGCGATAAAAGTTTGAATAGTTGTCAAGTAGCGTATTATGAATGAGCGTGGATCCAAGAAGTGTAACGAGATACGCGAGTATTGACTCTAGGGAATAAAGCTTGGCCGCATCCGATTCCGAAAGAGCAGACACCAAGTACAACGTTGTTGTGATAAAGAGGACCACCAGAGTCGCCCTGGCACTGATCGCGACCACCGGTGGGCCAGCCAGAGCACAGCATGTTGTCGGTGATGACGATACCGCGGGTAGCGTAGTTGTTTCTGCAAGTGTTCTGGTTGATGATCTGCAGCTGGACGTGACGGAGCTGGTCAGAGCCGGCAAGTGAACCATGCTGAAATAAATAGATCAATTATTAAGTTTCAAATCTACTACACTAAACTAAATCACAGTACGTTTTGTAAACAAATTAAAAAAAAATACTTACGATAGTGTCTCCCCATCCAGCAGCCCAGACGGGAGAGTTGTCAGAAGGCAAGTAGTTGGGACCAGCAATATGAGCATCGCGGACATTGATGTTGTAATAGAAGAACGAGGCGGAGCGGAGGATAGCAATGTCGTTATCTAAAGTTCTAAAGCTAAATAAATTGTGAACGATATTTTGGGCAACGTTGTAAACGTTACCACCGCTGTTGGCCCAGGATGAACCGAGACGGATGCGCCATCTGAGGGCTGTGTCACCACTGCAAAGAACAGAATTTTGTAGAAAAAAAAATTTATCATTTTAACTCGTCGAGTACCGGTTTTGTAGACACAATTATAGAACAATAGGTTGCGGTCACCGGTGACCGCTTGGTGTTTGACAGTTAAAATAGTTAATAATAACGTAGATTTGTTACTTACTAAGTACAGTGAGCAGCGGTAAGGATGGTATTGAAGTTCAAGATGGAACCTCCACACGTCTGCCAGTATTGATTCGAGTTCCATGAATACAGGAGAGCGGCGATGCTAGGGTACTGGCTAATATCAACCACGTTACCACCAACAATCCTTTGTGGGTTTGTGGGGACGGCTGAAATAAAATATTTACAACATTTACGTATTGATGTTTGACTTAATTGCACAGTCATTACTACAATGGTTTTATAATAATTAACAGTAATGCACGTCTCTTTGGGGAATCATTAATTAGTACTGGATACAATTCTAAACGTAACACTACCCTTAAAGGTAATGTAGTGTTCAACATATCTAATAAAGGGGACGCATTAAATCTTACTACATAATAGTATTAAGGGATTTTTGTAACGTCAGATAAATGTTAACAAAGGAATAACTTTTATTTAAATATTTGACAATTCTTCCATACTGAAAACTGTCAAATTTCATTTTTTCTTTAGGAATTATTTATCTGTTGATTCAAAAATCGGCTCTTAATCATCATGATTACGTATGCAATTCAAATATACTTAATAACAAATGATTTTTAATTTCATTAGAAATAGTTCGCTTGAACAGAAGTCAATTAGATTAATACAAAGTATTCGATTCAATCCGATTAAATATTTTAGGATAATAATATGATTAGCGCATACCTGTAACAGCAGCAAAGCAGAGAGCTACCAGAACCAATGCACGCATGTTGTGGATTCTACAAAACAAGTGTATTATATTACTGTAATTACTGATATTTATACTCAGAAATTATTACTACTAAATGATAGGAAAGAAGATAAAAAGACAATAATTGAATGTTTTATTTTCCTGTGTCCATTTATATTGGTTATTGGAAATAATCAATTGGAAGTAATCTTTTACGATACGGAATTATTTATGTTATCTTTTGTAGCTCAAATAAATTGGGAATTTGTCAACTAGTCAAAAACAATACTTTTTCCGAACTGCCAAATTCTATATCAATTTTCTATGAATTTTATACGAGATTGTGTATTGTGACGTCACGTTGTTTTAGCGTACTTATTTCTTTAAAATTCACTGGAAAAAATACTAAAATTAAATGAGTAATAAAATCCATTAATGAAAGCGTGATTATTTTTTAATATTTTATTGTATTGGACAGCCGAAATAATTTATTTTTGATTAAGGAAAGTACCCGAATGTGACGTGTATAACTACGTTTTCTTATTTTAATGTTAGTTAAAGATTATTTTAATCTCAAAGTCCGACTTGCGTTTCATTGGCTGCAATCACACGCAGACAGAATTAATAATATCTTATGATTTTATTATTAGGATGAAATGGGTGGTAGTTAAATAGAGCAAGCAAAATAATAGAGCAAGAAATGCTATGAGGAAAATAAAAAAAAATGTTTTATTAGTCATTTTTGAATAAACAATCCGTGATAGACAGATAGTACGAGTATTTGATAATAATCTATACTGATTTAAATCCTTGCCATAACTTTAATAAGTTGGGTATTTTGAGTAGGTACAACTAAAATTTTTAACCGACTTCAAGAAAAGGAGGAGGTTCTCAATTGAACCGTATATATGTTTTTTCAGGTGTATAATTGATAAAAAGGCCGAAAAATGGGGTGAATAGAGACAGAAGAGGGGTGAATAGATGTAAGAATTCTTTATAGTATCGATTCACCCCTCTTCTGTTCCTTTTCGCCGCTCAAACCCTATTCACCCCATTTTACCGTTATATAGTTCAACTAGTAGGAAACGTCTCCCAACTAATGAAGATGGTGTCATTATTTAAAACAAAAATCAAATTTTAAATACTTTTATTGCATAGTCAAGTAGTGCTAAAATGTGGTCTTAAGCATTGTCAGTAATCCAAGAACTAAATTGAGATACTCGCACGTTGACACCGGGGAAATTAACCTGGCCGCAACCAATGCCGAAGGAACAGACACCAACAAGAATACCATTATGGTAGAGAGGACCACCAGAGTCACCTTGGCACTGGTCGCGACCACCAGAGGGCCAGCCAGAGCACAACATATTCTCAGTGATAACGTAACCACGGGTAGCGTAGTTGCTTCTGCAAAATTCTTGATTGATAACCACGACTTGCACGTGACGTAGTTGTGCAGAACCAGCATTAGATCCAGACTGAAAGAAGAATAAAAATTAATTTATATTTTATCAATTATACTATCAATGGTGGGTAACCTAATTGTGTTAACTTACGAAAGTATCACCCCAGCCAGCGGCCCAGACGGGCTGATTTTCGGCGAGACGATAGTTGGAGCCAGCGATGGAAGCAGGGCGGACATTGTTGTTGAAACCTATCTCGGTGGTAGTACGCAAAATAGCGATGTCATTATTACGAGTCATGTAGGCGAAGCGCGGGTGTACGATGCTCTGCCGAACCATATGGACAGAACCACCACTATTAGCGAAGGAGGAACCTACTCGTATATTCCATCTTCTGATTTCTTCACGGCTGTAAATTATTTATAGTGTTATTAATTTCACCCATTTCATTAACGTAAATAAGTCTATATTTCTAAAAAAAAGTACTTACAAAACACAGTGAGCAGCTGTAAGGATGGATCTGTTATTGATGACAGTACCACCGCACTGTTGGGTGTAGATACTCCAATTTCTAGTGATCAGAAGTGCAGCAATGTGCGGGTACTGGTTAATGGTTGTCAGTGATCCACCAACAATCCGCTGCGGACTTGAAGGCAGCGCTGTAAAAAGAATACATATTATAGATTTTTTTTCAACTGTTCATTTTTTTTCAGCTTAAATTTCTTATTAGGCGAAAGGTTGCATTCGATTTAATATTTCATGTTTCTTAGTTAATTGATCATTAACTCGATCAAAATAATGTTTGTCAGCATATATTTTAATATAGAAAATTTTATAACTAACTAAAGCCCTCATGGGTAACTATTTTTAATAATTTCTTTTAAAAAAATGTTTTATCTTAACAAATATTGCTGTGCCCACAGGGTCCATAAATGTACTTAGCTTTAAGCCTATTGTAACACCTTATTCACTTTATGGTACGCAAATAAATGAATATGAATATATAATTTAGAGAAAACTTTTAATAAACTGCAGAAATTATTAAGCATTTTAACAAAATCATTTAACTTAACATACCTGCAACTGCCACCAAACAAAGAGCTAGGATACCGATAGCACGCATATTGTTGATGATGGACTGATGAACTGAGCAACTGACAATTATTTCAAAGCATGGCTTTTTATACCGATGACAATTAAATTGATTACGGAATATGAGTAAGGAATAATCTTGTCATTTGATTGTTATCTATTTCATATAATTATGTAAATTACTTTTATTATGAAGAAGACTGTAGACTTGTGAACCAATCAACTGCCTCTACAATATATTTGTCGACAGATTTTATTATATCTCTTGTTTCCAAATCGTATGAACCTTCAATCCTATCTTAGTAGTTTGATTTATCTTACAGTCTACACATACATACATAACATCACGCCTTTTATCTCTGAAGGGGTAGGCAGAGGTGTACATTACGACACTTAATGCCACTGTACAATGTAATACTCACTTTTCACTATATCATGAGTCCCATGTTATAGTGAGTGACCCTATTGCCATGTATCAGGCACAATTCCAGACTCCGAGCTACGACTGAGATTTTTTTAAAACCCAGCAATACTTTGCCCAATTCGAGAATCGAACCCAAGACCCCTTGCCCAGCAGTCGCAATTGTGACCACTCGGCCAACGAAGCATTCGTCAATCAATGGAAATCACTTCTAGTAGTAACTCAGAATAGTTCTTTTCCAATGGTGAATGAACATTTAAAATAATTTCAAAATAGCAAAGCTACTGGATTAAAATTGATTTTAACTTTACATCGTCTTTAGACCTAAATATATATTGTGTAGTGTGGGAGAGCCATGGTTCGTTACGAATGGGCTGGCTCGACCGGAATGATACCACGGCCTCACAGAAAACCGACGTGAAGCAACGCTTGCGTTGTGTTTCGTCGTGTGAGTGAGGTTACCGGAGGCCCAATTACCCTCCCCTTCCCCAATCTCCCCAATTCCTGAATCCCCAACGATCCTCAAACTCCTAATCCCCAAAGGGCCGGTAACGCACTTGTAACGCCTTTGGTGTTCCAGGTGTCCATGGCCGACGCCGCTTACCATCAGTTGATCCATCAGCTCGATTACCGGGTTATGCCATAAAAAAAATTGTCCGAAAACCGTATGTACAAAATGGTATGATTTATTAAATAACATTGTGTTATCCTCCTAAAACGAGTGATGTAGGTAATTCAATCGCTATCACTATAAGTAGCTATGCTTCGTTGTCTTTCAAATTTGATTGATGTGATGGGTAAGTCCAATTGAGCTTATCTACTTAGATAGATATGTTTTTCCGACTTCAAAATAGAAGGAGGTTCTCAGTTTGACCCGTTGTGCGTATATGTATGTTTGTAGGTAACTGATGACTAATCGACTCGCAATTGGTTAAACCAAACGATGCGGTTTTCAGAAAAACGATTTTCAAAAAAAGTCAAAATTATTTATTTCAATTAGACCAAGAAGGCACTTTTGAACGTCAGCAATAGAAATTTAAAAGTGAAGCTATTTGCTCATTCCAAGGTGTGAGGATTATTCCTATGGAGAAGAACGAGCATACTCCATAGGTTAATCTTTTCCAATCAGTTTCACAATACAATTCTTCAGTTACACAGTTTTATTGGTTCGATTATGTGAGACCAATGTAACACCAAAATCCAGCCAAAGAGATCGAAAAAGAAAATAACCCTAAATACAGTTTGTTACACTATTCTATATAGAAACTGAACTGAATGAATTCATAACTTATTTCTTTTGTGTTGCTGGGAACACAAAAGAAAGGAAGAAGGCTGTTAAAATGTTTAGCAGAAAAATCGAAAAATGCTAATAAAAACAAAACAAATGACACGTCAATGTATTCGACGTATTACGTATTCTGTAGTCGACGGTGTTACGCCGAGAAAGACTTAAATGGCAAAAATTGCGTATTTTCTTCCAGGTTACAATAAAAAGAAGGTAAAATGGACGGAAAACATATATAGCTCAGTGGCTTTAGCCAAACGCCAATTTAGCGCTTGTCTACAAAGAGAGAGTAGAAAATGAAATGTATGGGGATGACACTGACAAGTGTCCAAATTTACGTCAATCCCATATAATTTGGTTTTCTATTCTACATGTAGACAAGCGCTAAATGGCATTTGGCTACAGCTGCTGGTTTGTAGCTGATATTTTTTTTCACACTTGTGCCAATTATAAATAATTTTCATAAAAAAGAATAGCTGTCACATGTCACAAGAATTGATAGAATTTAAAAATAATAACACCTTTGAGGTTCAAAGAAAAGCAGTTGACAACCATGCAAGGTACATTTTAGTGAACTACTTTAACAGTTGTACGGTAAGACTTTGTATCGATCTTAATTCGCGCTCGACTTTATCATCATCATTCTATTTATCGTAGCTTGTCTAGAACTTTGTACTAAACGCCATCTGTTGGACTTTGTTGGAACTACCTAGACACAAATCAAAGTTATTTCGATACTTTGCCGATCTGCGAATAAAACTTAAAGTACTTATGACTACCGCGGTTTTATTACACAGTATTGCATGCATGAAAAAGTTTATAAATCTCTTGTTAGACAGACTGATGAATTTGTGACATGGCGAGAAAGAATAGAATATGAAGATGGTAGATTTTTTATGAAAAAAGACTATAAAAAGACGGCAAATTAGGTGAGAAATTATATAAATGAAGAAAATATATATTGTGTAGAACCTATGTAACTTCAAGATGTAAGTACAGTTAAGATGACAGATAGATAATTAACATCATGTTCATCAAAGGTGTTTACATTAATAAGACGCAAGTGTGGATTGCATAGAAAAAGATGATTTCAACTAATCAGTCAATGAGTCTAAATAATAATATGTGATATCAAAGAAACTAAGACAAGAATCATTTTAACAAGTTTTATTTACCTTTAATGAATACATTTTATAGAAATTGTAGAAAAATTGTTTTATGCGTTGGCAGAAATCCAGGAAGTGTAGGCAGATACACGAGCGTTCACACCAGAGTATTTGGCATCAGCACAGCCAATACCGAAAGAGCAGACACCAACAACGATGCCGTTGTGGTAGAGAGGACCACCAGAGTCACCCTGGCACTGGTCGCGACCACCGTTGGGCCAGCCGGAGCACAACATGTTGTCGGTGATTGTGTAGATAGTGTTGGCGTACTGGTTTCTGCAATGGTTCTGGTTGATGACTACAACCTGGACGTGACGGAGCTGCTCGGAGCCAGCGTTTGCTCCATACTGAAATGATGAATGAAAATATAAATAGACAACAATTATGTTCTCGCGGTATGTTGCTCGTGAATATGAGCTTTTAACATGGCTTGAAACTAATCGAGTTCTTTGTCAAACAGTTACGTGAATAAGCCGAAAACAAAATAATTTAAGTTATAGTATGTCTCACGGAAGTCCTAGTAGAAAAATCTTTTTTAACTGCTGCCTAGAGTTAACTACCATCTGACATATAAAAATATAGTTCATAGAATGTTGGGAAAGACTTATAATATAAAACTTATATTTGACTTACGAAAAGGTCACCCCATCCAGCGGCCCAAACAGCTTGGTTGTCAGCGGGGAAATAGTTGACACCAGCGATGGAGGCAGCCTGGACGTTGTTGTTGAAGGAGAAGGTGGTGGCGGAACGCAGGATAGCAATGTCGTTGTTGTAAATGGCTCCTTGATTATATTGAGGGTGAACGATGTTCTGGTTGACGTTGTGAACGACACCACCACTGTTGGCCCAGGTGGAGCCAAGGCGGATGCGCCATCTGCCTGCGGCGTCACCGCTGCAAAGAAATTTTTTTATAACTAACAACATAACATACCATCACGCCTATTTATCCTCAAAGGGGTAGGCAGAGGTGCACATTACGGCACTTAATGCCACTGTACAATGTAACACCCACTATTCAATTTTTACGTTATGAGTCCCATGCAATAGAGGGTGAGCCTATTGCCATATACCGGGCATAATTGCAGACTCCTACTACTGAGATGTTTATTTAAAAAATCCAGTAATACTTCGCTTGACCCGGGAGGCAGTCAGTGTATAACTAATTTTGCTGATTACTATGTATTCTTCCTCTGCATGGTTTGCAAATTGAATCTATTACTAAATTAACAGAACAATAAAATAATTAAATCCATAACTAATTATCTAATTCTTAATTTCAAAATACATACACTGTGCAGTGAGCAGCAGTAAGGATGGATCGGTTGTTCAAGATGCTACCACCGCATGCCTGCCAGTAGCTAATCCAGTTCCATGAGTACAGCAGAGCAGCAATGGTGGGGTACTGGCCAATGGTAGTCACCGACCCTCCCACAATCCTTTGGGAGCTCGATGGGACGGCTAAAAACAATTTGGCACTGTTATACTGTCAAACACCAAGCGGTCACCGGTGACCGCAACCTATTGTTCTATAATTGTGTCTATAATGACGGTACTCGACGAGTTAAGTTTTATGATTAACTCGTCGCGTGTTGAACCATGGATCCACGGGAGACAAAATATATTTTATATTGTGTCTCATATCAGTGCATTCAAGCGGTTAATTTATGACTTTTGCAAAGTGCTTGTTTGTAGTACATAACTATATGATTTTTTGTTTTGTTTGTTTTTTGTTTTTTTTTTTTAAAAAAAAGGTTGCCCCACACTAGGATTATCTCCTGTATCGTGGGTGCGTTTACAAACATACAAGTCCACATAGACATGACACCCAGACCCGAAACAACAATTTGTGGATCACACAAAGTGTTGTTCCGTGCGGGAATCGAACCCGCGACACGTTGCACGACAGCCAGTTGCCCAGCCACCGCACCAACCGTGCAGTCAATTATATTTTAAGTTGTATATATTTATTTAGTTATTTTTTTTTTAATAATAGACAATATAGACATTACACCCGTAAAAATTGATTTGAAGTAATAAAATAATCTATATTTATGAAATCATCATAACCTTAGACAGCAACTATTCGCCAAATCTACAAGGATTATGGGCATTATTTACACTCATGCGGAAGCAAATGCTAGCAATTTTACGCATAACCATCATCAACAGTCTCTAAGTGGTGACTGCTGACCAACGACATCTTCTCACTCGCAAAAGGTTTGAGCATTAAACTGTCAAACACCAAGCGATCACCGGTGACCGCAACCTATTGTTCTATAATTGTGTCTACAAAACCGGTACTCGACGAGTTAATCACCATGCTTGCTTAATGCAGGTTGTCGATTCCAAACTTATAATAAAAAAATATAATCCCATATTTCCTCATGATGTTTTCCCTCACCGTTTGTCAGTAGTGTCTAAATAAGTTAAAAAACTAACTCGGAAAAAGTCACATTGGTTCTATGCCGTTGGTAGGTTTATAACCCGCACCCTCGTAAATGAAAAGCGGGTTTTTAAACCTTCGGGCCACAACGACACTTAATTGGTACGCAGATTTTTCTTAACTTTGGAATTTAAAATTTAAATAAAATAACTTCACATACCTGCTACTGCCGCTAGGCACAAAGCCAGGATAGCTAAGACACGCATGTTGTAGTAATTGATTCGTTGAGAAGACAATGATGTTTGGTTTTCATATCCTGATATTTATATGAACGCGTTTAGATAATTATGTTTTACCCACATATATTATTTTTATCAATACCTTATCATACATTTCAATAAACACGCAATTAAAGAAGATATTACATTAGTATTTTAAAGTACGTAATATTTTTAAGTATAATTTAATGTAAGTCTGCCTCATTGGCTGCGTGGTCACAAGTGCAACTGCCGGGCAAGGGGTCTCGGGTTCGATTCCCGGGTCGGGCAAAGTATTACTGGGTTTGTAAAAAACCTCAGTAGTAGCACAGAGCCTGGAATTGTGCCCGGTATATGGTAATAGGCTCACCCCCTATTACATGAGACTCATAACATAAATAGTGAAAAGTGGGTGTTACATTGTAGTATAATTTGCACCTCTGCCTACCCCTTCGGGGATAAAAGGCGTGATGTTATGTTATGTTACGTTTACTGTAAGGATAAAGTTAAAATGCGTACTTTCTTTCACTGCACTGGTTTGTTGTCTAGATATGGGAAAACTAAGTAAAAACAGACTAACGAATCTTGCAACTGAGACACATCAGCTAAATATTAAATTAGATTAGAATGATGATCAAAAATATACTGACAGTTCATCATTATTGAGTTTATTTTATTTGGTTTTTATCGGTTAGAAATCTAAATAAAACGGAGATTATATTAGAAAGAAGAAACAAAGAAAGAAAATTGTTTATTCGCTACGTAACAAATTAAAAAACAAGAACAATAATTACAACAATAAAAATGGTAAAACTGTGCAGGGCGCAAAAAGACCAAGTTCTCAGCTAAAATGCCGTGACCCGAGTCAAGTCACGGCGCTGATTTTTAGCCCTAGCCCATCACTATAATAATAATAATAAAAAATAAATAATAAATATTAAGACAGTTTAACTCAAAATTATTCACTATACCAATATTTCTATCTACTAATAGTATGCACTGTAATACTTTCTCAAATATTTCCATTATGCCACTAAATGCATCCTCATAAAATTATATTCGGATAGTATATAAACCCCTTAATATAATATCTTGTTTCTCTTATCTTGTCTTATGTAAAATATTTATCCAATTGCCTTAAAATTTTCATTTAACAGATTATGAGTGGAGAAACCCATTTAAGTTTGTCGGTGCCAATCTTTGGAAAATCCTAAAAACTGAAATTTCACTAGTAGTTATTGATTTGAGCCCAAAATCCGTTGTGCTTCATGGGCGTATCATGTGTCTAGACCTGGCCGGAATGTATGACCGGAAATATATATTTTTATGAATTTTACTAACATTATATCATGGATATGAAAACGGAAAGTGCGTAGTAGTGCAAGTTTTTGTTTATTTAAATTATAATTATTTTATTCAAAACGATTATTCTGAGCTGGTGTATTTTTGAAATCTACAAAGCATGGGGTCTGGAGTCCGAAGTTGCGATATACGCAATATGTGCATAGCAATAGGCTTGACTCCTATTACATGGAAACCGCTGATGAAAAATCGATCACGGGACGATATCCGGCCACCGGAGGTGCGGGTCTGCGGATGGTGAGCAAGGGTAGCTCGCCGCCGGACCAGAACCAAACCCATGCGTACAGCGCGTCGCGTTCCGCGCGCACCTCAAAGAGCCATCAGATCACCATAGATAGGGCCCAGTAGGGCTGGTGCCCGATACGGAGCCGCGGAAGGCCTAACGGGTTGCCGGGGCTCCGGCGATTGAATGTGTATTTTTTTAGTTTTTAGGGGTATTCTAAATTCTAATTTGGTTTGTTAACATAAAAATATCGGATATGATGGTGACTTTAAGGCATAATGCTATTATTATTTTGTGTATATCTAATAATATCAACTGTTTTGTTAGCATACGGCTGCAAGCGTACCTGCTAAGCAAGAGGGCAATTCGGAAAATCCGTCTGCAATTCGGAAAACGTGTTTTTAGATTTTCTGTATTCTGTATTCTTATTGTTTGGCCAAAGTTGTGTTAGACTTAACATGTGACTAGTGATAGGATTTTTCCTAATATTATGAGTCTCATTGGACTCAGAATTTTAGGGATTGCTATTTCGTAACTTTTTTGTTTTTTCTCTAATATTCTTTTGATCATATAGACTAATTATGGTTTTTCTTTTTTCCAGGTATGTGAATCCCCTGTCCACATCAGCCATCGAATGAAAGTAAGTGATTGAAATTGCTTCAGGTATTTCAAGGAATTACTCTTTCTGTGTTTTTCTTCGTATTTACACTCCTGGGTAAAGTGGTGGTGATCGCCACATTGAGTGTCGCGAAAATCTTTAAAATGGGGTGCTATTCTTTCCAAACTGCGGTTATTTTGAAAGAAAGAACGAAAGGAAAGTTTATTCTGGCGTATATTTGTAGCGAATAATTACCTACTATACCGTATTTCTTTACATATTTTGTATAATATTTGTACACTCCATATATTATTACTTTTAGTAACGTTGATACGTTCACGTTTTTTAATGACACAATGGTGATCCATTGGTGATCCGTTTTTTAATGACACAATGGATCACCATTGTGTCATTAAAAAACGTGAAATTCCTTAGGGAACAAATTTTTAATGTGTAATGACAGTGACTTTAGAAAATTATTATTTTTTAAGTAAAATATATTTTATTGAATTGGGGATGATAAAAATATTTTTTTTAACCGAAAATATTGAATTCTTCTCTCAACCCGAGAATTGAGCTCAAGATCACATGCAGCGCAATCATTGTTTCAGTACAAAAAAAAAAATAGGAGTTGAATAATTTATCACTACATAGTATAAGACAAAGTCGCTATCCGCCGTCTATCTGTCCCTATGTATGCTTAGATCTTTAAAACTGCGCAACAGATTTTGATGCGGTTTTTTTAATAGATATAGTGATTCTTAAGGAAGGTTTAAATAAGTATAATACATGCATATTGCACCTGTGTGAAACCGGGGCGGGTTGCTATTTTACTATAAAATACACAGGTTATTTAAAAAAATTGTAATAAGAGTTGAATGATATTCATAATTATAATCCAATTAATGTAGCGAGACACGCGTTGTCACTCGCGTGTCTCCTACACACCAGGGTACCTAACATAGTGACACCATTGTGATAGAGAAGACCACCAGAGCCACCCTGGCACTCTCGCGACCACCGGTGGGCCAGCCAGAGCCAACATGTTGTCGTTGATATTAATGCCAATAACAGCGTAGTTGTTTCTGCAAATGTTCTGGTTGATAGTCTCAAGTTGAACATGACGGAATTGCTCGGAGCCTCTGTTTGAGTTAGACTAACAAAAACAAAATTGACTTCAAACATAAAATCACCAAAAATGTCCATGGCTTTGCAAATCCTTTTAGAAATTAATCTATGAGGAGACATAACTACTTCTTAAGTCACGGTTAAACATTATTTGCAAATAAACTAATAGGTATATTTCTATAGTAATTTACCTTTTATCATTAACTTATCTATCATTATCAGACGGAAATACTTAAACAGCTTTAAAAAGTACTACCTTTTATCTACTACTTTATCCACGTCAATGAGCCTGTTCTTTTCCGTATTCCCAAAAATTGCTTGAGAACAAGAACGACTTCATGTCAGTGGGCTGATCTTTGATATACGATTTGCCTTACGTAAGAGTTTAATGTTATCCATATTATCCAAAGATATCTTTATTAATGTATTATATTTTCAAGTTTTCATTAACTGACAAATTACAGTAAGCAGCTGTGAGGATAGTGCCGGAATGCCGCCGTGGGATCTGAAAGCGAAGGCTTGCGCGCGTTTTCAGTTTGCGCGCTGCCGCGCTTTGCCGGGGCAAAAGTCTGCTGCCATGCCAGATTAATACGAGCTCCGGTGCGATCTCATGGTGGAAACGCAGCAACGACTGTTACAACCGAGGGAGCTCGCTGTCATTGCAGCGGTAAGTCCCCTCTTTGAGGAATGGCTTGAGACACGCTACTGTGTCCTCGCCAACCGCCTGACGCAGGTGCTTACCGGGCACAGAAGTTTCGGTAGGTTCCTGTTCCGAATTGGGCGGGAGGAAACGCCCGGGTGCTATCACTGCGACGACCGCCCGGAGAACATGGTGGAGCATACGGTGGCGATGTGCCCTGTCTGGGCTGAGCACCGCCATGTCCTCAGGGATGTGATCGACGACGGTGACCTCTCGCGTATGGCTCTGGTTCAGGCCATGGTGCGGAGCGAGGCGGACTGGGATGTCATCTTCTCCTTCTGCGAAGCAGTAATTCTAGCTAAAGAGGAGGTGGGGCGCGTGAGAGAACGAATCTCTTCACGCTCCAGCCGTCGCGGGAGACACTCCGAGCGTCCCGTGCGTACGGCGTGTCACGTTCCGTGCGCCCTCAAAGAGCTATCAGACCACCACAGATGGGGCCCAGTAGGGCTGATGCCCGATACGGAACCGCAGAAGGCCTAACGGGTTGCCGGGACTTCGGCTCGAAGAGCAGGAGTAGGAACGGGGTATTTTTAGTCAGTAAGAGTCTGACACTCCCTCTCGCCGAACCCAAGGTGGGAGAAGTCATTAGATGATTTGCCCCTTCAAAAAAAGGGGGGTTAAATAGTAGCGTGGCAATGGTAAAGTACCGATCAATAGTGATAAATGATCTATCAACTATCTGAAATTGATGGCTGAAATTAAAGTAATAGATCTAAGATACATTTAATGTTTAAGCTGAGCATGTCTATGTATAACGAAAATTAATTATCAGCTCTCAATGTGTTTCCATGTGTGTGTCTCCATTACATGATTATTGAAAGTTAGTTTACCTGATTATTTTATCAGTTAGATTAGTGTTTTTATGGAATATGAGGCAAACGAGTATACGGATCATAATTAGTTAGGTCCTTAACTTCAAACGTTTCGCTTACGTTTACTGTAGTGTCAAGTAATGTATATTTTATAGAAAAAATAAATGAATTGACATCAAAAAGAATAAACATATTTTTTTCTAAAATTCTCCGAAATTCTTATGACATACCTGCATCACGCACGCATGTTGAAGCTAACCCGTTTCCGAAATTATAAAATATTTTCCATTTGTATCTGGGATTTCTAGACAAACATACTAATTTGAAATCATTATATCGTACCTCCGGTGCTATAACGTCACTTACGTATTGCCGGCCCGCGCGCAACTGAACAATGAAACGCTGTTTTTCCTAGTGCCGTCCAGATTAGCGCCAAAACCGTAACGACAGTAATGCCCTCACAATGTCAGTTTGCTTACTACACAAATGACAATAACGCACCAAGTAAAGAGGTGAATTTGGAGTATTCTTTCATAATCAGTTAAGTTTTGACAAAAGTTGCATAAGTGACGATATTGCACTGAGGGTGCGATATGAGTTTCTGCGTGGACGCAAAAATATTGCACAATATCCCTTTATTGATTGAACAGTTTAATATTAAAGATTGTGGCGACATTATAAGACATTTTATTTTAGTAATCCATTCATTATACTGCCTGTGTCAAGAAATATTTGAAGTAAATTTAAAGTTCGCTGTTACCAGACGATGTTTTTGTGCAAAAGTGTTCTTTTTTTTTAATTTGAACGCATAAAGTCTGTAAGAGTACAATAAAGAATTAATTAGTAATCATGAACAGTTTGTAGTGGACAACATTATTAGAAAGAAAGAAATATAATTTATTCGGTACAACACCAGGCACAAACATAATACAATAAATACCATGCAAACAAAAATAGGAGTGAAATTAAAAAAACATAATTATGAGTTGCTAGCATTCATCTTAAATCCCATTAGAATGACTGTGCTCTACTTGGGCAATGGTGTAATAGCTCCCACATAAATTTCCAAAAAAACCCAATGCAAAAAAAAAAATAATAATTAATGACTTCTGGAACCACTAAAAACAAAATGCAAAAGTATGCTCACTCTTAGAACTATCCCATTTGCGATGCCCGATTAAGGGTTAAAGGTGTTTCGAGAAAAATAATAATTTATTGTGTAAGATAATCTGTGTCACCATTAAATTAAATAAAATTTTAAAAGAAATAGTAAAGTTTAAGGTAAACTAGAAATAATGGCCACAAACCACAACTCAACTATATACGTGTGAAAAAATAAGTTACATTCATATAACTTAAGTTATAATTAAAGTTATATTTATGCGAATCATACTTATATTTCGTCATTAATAGGATAATTATGATTTATGAACATAAAATAACATTACGCCTTTTATCCCTGAAAGGGTATGCAATAATTATGATTTAATATTTTTAATTATATTTATATTATTAGTTATGTTTTTATAATAGGTATACTGTGACACATACTGAATTAACTAAAAATGGCGATTTACGTAAATGTGCTAAATGAGCTCTACTGGTTTGGAGTCACAGAGGGAGTTATAATGAGTTACTAAATTAATATCGATTTAAGCTTCATTATGTTCTCTTTTCTTATATTTAATTCATGTTTAGAAAAATGAAGATTATGAGGTAACATATTTATTTAGAAAATTTACATATATAACACTACAGCTTACGTCATTAAGTTGTCCTGTTATTCTTATTTAAATACTACTATTTAGGTATTTAACAACAAACTAATTAGGTAATTAAATGCAAGAAATAAAAATTAATACAATTCAGAAACAAAATCAACAAAAAACTGTACTATTGAATTTATGAACCGGAAACGATAATATTGAGGTTTTTAGAAAAACGAGACAGATCACTATTTTTTCCATAGGTAGGATCAAAGTTCTACTTTAGGGTAGTACAGAGAACTACAATGTATAAATAACAGTTTTTGTCTCTTTGTTTGTCTGTACGTATGTCCGGGCTAAACTCCAAAAGTACTGCATGGATTTACTTCAAATTTTTTCACTTTCGTCGTTTGAATTGAGATCTAGTTTTATTATTATGCTGTCCAATAGCAATAAATGGCCCTTTAGATTTGATGCGTATAGTTAAAAAATAATTCAGCATAAAATAAATTAACTTACGTATTTTTTTTTATAATATTCACAATATCTTTGTTTGATTATAATAAACACCATCGACAAAATGAGTTAGGTAATTGAAAATCACACATTTAAAAGAGTTGTAAAAAGATAGAAATATTATCCTAATGTATCTGTTCTTGATAATTGACCTAACATGTTCTGGAAGTTCATTAACAAGGTACGAGTAGACAATAATTACAGTACGCGTATTGTAGTTTCAAGTACAAGGGGTACTGCCACTTTTTTCTGATGTAATAGGTTTTTTTTTATAATTAGATTTTCTAATTAGAACGTATACGAACATATCTTTCAAAAACTTTAAAATGAACATAAACAGGTCTGCTCAAATTTTATTGGTTTATATTTTTATATCATCATCATCTATTAAAAACATTTCACCGATTGGAATAAAACCATAAAAAATTATTTAATTATTTATTATGTACATTAAAATGGAGTCATATCAGTATGGATAGATGAAATCAGTCTTATGCATTAGCGGAAATCCAAGATGTGTAGCGGGACACACGAGCGTTGACACCAGGGTACCTAGCGTCAGCACAGCCAATACCGAAAGAGCAAACACCAACAACGATGCCATTGTGGTAGAGAGGACCACCAGAGTCACCCTGGCACTGGTCGCGACCACCAGAGGGCCAGCCGGAGCACAACATGTTGTCGTTGATTGTGTAGATAGTGTTGGCGTACTGGTTTCTGCAAGTGTTCTGGTTGATAACTACAACCTGGACGTGACGGAGCTGCTCGGAGCCAGCGTTTGAGCCAGACTGAAATAGAAAGAAAGTTATTATAACACAAAAATCTTCTTTAACCGGTTCATAGAATGACCAAGTGACATACAAAGCTAAACTATTAATCTTACTTCTTACTAATATTATAAATGCGAATGTTTGTGAGGTTGTGCGTTTGCATGTATGTTTGTTAATCAATCACGTCAAAACAGCTGAAGGGATCGGGATAACACTTTAATTACGGGAACGCGGGCGAAGCCGCTGATAGATGCTAGTTTTTTAATAAAAAGTGTATCAAAATATTTCTTCAGTATGACACTGAGAGTCTGGCACTCCCTCCCGCCTCACCCAGGCGGGAGCAGACATTGGATGATTTTCCCCGATAAAAACAATGACAGTAAAGTTTAACTTACGAAAGTGTCACCCCATCCAGCAGCCCAGACAGCTTGGTTGTCACCGGGGAAATAGTTGGCACCAGCGATGGAGGCAGCGCGGACATTGTTGTTGAAGGAGAAGGTCGAGGCGGAGCGGAGGATGGCGACGTCATTGTTGTAACGTGCTCCTACATTGTATTGAGAGTGGACGATGTTCTGGTTGACGTTGTGAACGACACCACCGCTGTTGGCCCAAGTAGAGCCAACACGAATACGCCATCTATTGGCAGCGTCACCACTGCAAAAGACATATAATTATTTATTTTTTAATTTTTAATAAGTTTCTCAAAATAATACCCAAATTTAGAGAGAGTACATACACGGTGCAGTGAGCAGCAGTGAGGATGGATCGGTTGTTGAGGATGATACCACCGCAAGCTTGAGAGAAGGTGCTACCCCAACGGTTATACAGTAGAGCAGCAATGGTGGGGTATCGGTCGATGGTGGTCACCGATCCACCGACGATCCTTTGGGAGCTGGACGGCACGGCTGTAAAATATAATAATTTGAAAAAAATATTCTTCGTTCTTAAAACCTCAAATCCACAAAATAAATGTTGTATTTGTCAAATTTTATACTTTTTAAAGTGTTTTAACATCACATGTACACTTTATCTGTTGTTGTTTATGATAAGTGTCATGATTACAAAATATTAAAAAAAAAATACCTGCGACCGCCGCCAAGCATAGAGCCAGGATTGCTAGAACACGCATGTTGTCACTGAGTCGTTGGGAACACTATGGTGATTGATGCAAATGCTTCTGTATTTATATCAATCAAAATTGATTACATAGACAAATTTTCCTTAATCATATCTATTGCCTTATCATCGATTTCCAACCTTAAGAATACTGTAGATACGTCAATATTGGGTGTGTACAATTGTTATGAACAATTTGTGTGTCCCCATTTACAGCAATATAAAAACAGGACCATGGGTAGTTCAAACGGTTGGCTTTTCGGGAGAAAAATTACGTAATTTTTAAATAAATAAATAATATATTTGTTTATTTATTCTTTTTTATTTCCTGGGTTAAACCGAGAGTTTCTTCCTAACCGTATTTCTATCAGATATTTTTTACCTAGAGACGCTTTTTTTTAAAGGGGGGAAAATCATCGAATGCCTGCTCCCGCCTGGGTGAGGCGAGAGGGAGTGTCAGACTCTTATTGACTAAAAACAACCCCGTTCCTTCTCCTGCACTTCGAGCCGAAGCCCCGGTAACCCGTTAGGTTCTCCACGACTCCGAATCGGCATCAGCCCTGTTGGGCCCATCCGTGGTGGTTTGACGGCTCTTTGAGGCACGCGCGGAACGCGACGCGCTGTACGCTCGGGCCTGGTTCTGGTTGGACGGTGAGTCACCCATACGGTACCCGCGCTTACGGTGGTCGGAGATCGTCCCGCATTCCTCGACGCCCAGAGTGTCCTTCGCGATGGCTGGGTTGCGAGGAGGCAGTGCTTCGCTGCCTCACGCGTCCTGCCTTCCCTTAGCTAGCATGACTACTTCGCAAAAGGAGGAGACGGCATCCCAGTCCCCCTCGCTCCGCATCATGGCCCGCACTAGGGCCGGCCGCGAGAGGTCGCCATCGACGATCACGTCTCTGAGGGCACGGCGGTGCTCAGCCCACGCAAGGCATTCCGTTACAGTGTTCCACCGCGTCCTCAGGGCGGTCCTTGCAGTGATGACACCCGGGCGTTTCCTCCAGCCCCATCAGACACAGGTACCCCCCGAAATTTCCATGTCCGGTGAGGACCTGCGTCAGGCGGTAGGTGAGGACGCCGTAGCGTCTCTCAAGCCACTCCTCAAAGAGACTTACCGCTGCAATGGCAGCGAGCACAACCTAGAGGCCCTAGATCCTTACTTTATTGATTAAATTAAAGTCAACTCTCAAGAATCATGAATCTCGTAATAGCACGAATCAGTTCCCGGGTAGAGCAGCGTATTATGGTATCTGCTGATGGCTGCTATATCGTAAATTACGATATAGAGGGCGAGTCCATTACGATTCGTAATGGACTCGCCCTCTATTATATAGGATTTGAAACACATAAAATTGTGAATGGTGGATGCTACATTGAAAATGATAGATCTCTGCCGAACTCAACAGAAATTAAAAAATCTTAATATAATACTAGCTTCAGCCCGCGACTTTGTATGCACAATCCCGTTTTCTCCCGTTCTCGCAGGATTTTTAGGATTTTTTTTTGCCTTATAAACCTTCTTCTAATAATAACAAATACAACAAAAATAGAATTAGTGAAATCGGTCCATCCATTTACGTGTGATACCTTGATCAAGGGAAAAGGGGATTCATTTTTATATATATAGATTTATGTTCTTAGAATACACCATGTGGCACGATATTGTAATAAAGTAGCTAATCGGTAAACCTCTTTATAATCTCCTTATCTTTTTAAATTGGGAAATACATTCGTAAAACTAATCATTACCTGTATTATATTTTCGCGAAACTGATAAAGATGGGTAAGTCCAACTGTACTTATTCATACTTTCAAAAATAACTCAAACCTTGGATTTTCCCATTGAGTTCTCTTTTTAATCAGCTGGCGAGTTGCCCGTGCTTGCCGTCCGCAGGCCCATGCTTACGGTGGCCGGAGATCGTCTCGCAATCCCTGATGACCGGAGTATCTTCATTCCCTTGTACGCCTCGCCTTCTCCTTAGCTAGCATTACTGCTTCGCATAAGAAGGAGACAGCATCCCAGTACCCGGTACGTACCAATACGCTCCGTACAATGGTTTGAACCAGTGCCGGACACTAGAGGTCCACGTCGTCAATCACATCCCTGAGGACACGGCGGTGCTTAGCTCACGCAGAGCACATTGTCACCGTATGCTCCACCGTGTCCTCCGGGCGGTCAAAGCTAAGACTCAATAGGGAAGCTACCTCCGGGAAATGCAATGGAAGCAACTTTTTGCAGTAAAACTGTAAAAATGATCTGTAAAACACACTAATTAAATACCAGGAAATCCTCGAGAATACGCGAAAATTGCGCGGAAGACGCGTGTCCAATTTTAGGCTCGTATTTAGTTTGTGTGCTATTACCGTATGTTAGTACCGTAAGCTTACGGGCAGAGTCGAAGCGCATCGAACCTGAAATATAGACTTTAGATAACCAAAGCACACGCACTATGATCCAGAAATATAGTTTTTGTTATTATATTAATAACTACCTGTTCCCTGCGATTTCGTCCGCATATAATAATAACTTCTGGCAAATTTTGATTTTTTTAATTAGTCTTTTCCTAGGTTAATTCCAATGGTATAGAACAAATCTCATCAGCATCGATTTAGTTATATTTATTGTGAAATGTTGTTCATTTCGGTTATTTCAAAAAATAAACAATCCCACAGGTATTTTACCCGTATAGTATCCATTTCCGTGAGGTTTCAGTGATTAAAACTCCATTTGAATTCCAATACAATAGGTACAGCGGTTGAACACTCTCAGGCGTCATTTTCCGAGTCTCGAACTATAGTTTAAAGATAGAGAGACCCAGAAGTTTAACGCAGTTCCTGTCCCGTGGAATTTCCGGGATAGAAAAATCATACGTCCTTTCCAATGCCAGTGTCTCAAACTCCCGTTGAACTGAATTTCATTAAAACAGTTTAATAATATCAGTATTCAGCCTCTTTGCATAAGTTAATGTTATATCATGACAACAAAAAAAAATTGTCAATCATCCATTAGCATGAAACTTGTCAAAATAAAATATGTCAGATAACATAGAAAGGTACCTACTTAATATTATAAATGTGTGCGTGTCTGTTTGTTTTGTTACTAATTGACGTGATTATTTTATTGAGTTATTTAAAAGGATCAAAAGTAGCATAGGCTAGATTTTGTTTCTTTCTAACCCACCACAGGGGGTGGAAGTTTGAATTGAGAATTTCATAATTTTCAAGAAACTTAAAATTGGTATCACATTTGTGACCAGTAAAACATCGGATACCAAATTCTTTTAATCTTTCGTAAACCTGCCTTCAAAACTTTAAAAGAGTGTCAGCGAAACCGTAGGCAGAAACTAGTCCATGACTGAAATGTATTCAGTTATTCGAAATCATGTTTTTTCTTCGAAATCCAAGATTCTGATGCAGCTTAATACTATAATTAGTTTTTTTTTTAAAGTTGTCTATTGTTAGTCAAAGGCTTAAGCAATATAAGGAGTTTTTTTGGAATTCACCATCGGACACCTGTTACGCCGTAGATACAGCATCAGGACGATATTCCGCCCACCTGGTCAGTTACGACATCTACTGCGCTCGCCTAAGGACAAAGATCCGCTGGCAGTTCCCGGAGTATACATGATACCGTGCGACTGTGGCTCGAGTTACATCGGGGAAACTCGCCGCAACATCGCAAACAGACTTAAGGAACACATACGCAGTGTGAAGAATCGTGACACTCATACATCGGCAGTAGCCGAACATGCGTGTAGCACGGGCACGGCTCACTTCCTCCGTTTCGACAAAGTCTCAGTACTGGCGAGGGAGAAATACTTCGTACCGCGGAAAGTACGTGAGGCCATCGAAATAAGCCGTCGCGACGACGACGCGTCGTCCGAACTTCAACAGAGACGGTGGCTGGGCATTACCACCTGTCTGGAAGCCGAGTCTGAAATCTGCGTCAGACTACAGTGTTGCGGGTCTGGAGTGTGAGCGCAGCATGTAACACTGTTTTTGCGTCGACCCGGGTTTCGAACCCAACAACACCAACGCAGCTGCCGGCGGGCGAGTCTGGCGTGCCAACAGTGCCACGCGCGCCGCCGTCGCCGATACCACGAATGGAAGAAAGTGCGCGTGAATCACGGCAGAGGGCGCGCTGGGCCCGCAGACTCGAGTAGCCAGTAGCAGCGCGACAGTCGCCGCGTCACGAGTCGCGAAATGCTGCTCATGAATATGAGCCTCTAGCATGGCTTGAAACTAGTCGAGTTCCTCGTCGAATTACTACGTGAGTAAGCCGAAAACTTAATAATTTATTTAGTATGTCTCACGAAAGTTACAATACAAATAAAATATAGCCTATGTTCATCATCGATAACGTAGGATAGGAAAATTCAGCTTCTAGTAGTTTCAATTCAAAAAAACAAACACAAAATCAAATCTTTCCTCTATACATATACTATGAGCGTAGATATAGAATAGTGAATTTTTAATTATTGAGCGGGAACAGTAGGGATTGTGACAAAATTTTCTTATTTATACGGCAGTTTTAGTAAATCATTTCATCAAAACTTTCCCCAAGTTTTAATACTTTAATAAGAAGTCAGATATTAAGTTCAAGAGATGTGTATTTGACCACAATAATATTGTGCATAAAAAATCTGATTAAGGTTTTCAATAACCGTTAATACAACCAAACTCAATTTGTTAAATGAAAACCATAAAATATTGCTCCAAAAATGTATTAGGTACACAAAATAACAAAATCTTATAAATATCAGCCTTATGCATTAGCGGAAATCCAAGATGTGTAGCGGGACACACGAGCGTTGACACCAGGGTACCTAGCGTCACCACAGCCAATACCGAAAGAACAGACACCAACAACGATGCCATTATGGTAGAGAGGACCACCAGAGTCACCCTGGCACTGGTCGCGACCACCGGTGGGCCAGCCAGAGCACAACATATTGTCGTTGATTGAGTAGATAGTGTTGGCGTACTGGTTTCTGCAAGTGTTCTGGTTGATGACAACAACCTGAACGTGACGGAGCTGCTCGGAGCCAGCGTTCGCGCCAGACTGAAATTGATAGAAAAATTATTAACATACTAAAATCTTCTTTAACTGGTTTTTAGAGTGACTAAGTGATACTATGCTAAACAATTAATGTTCAATAAAAAGTTTAAAACAGTGTTTGTTGAGTATGAGAATAAAGTTTATCTTACGAAGAGGTCACCCCATCCGGCGGCCCAGACAGCTTGGTTGTCACTAGGGTAATAGTTAGCACCAGCAATGGAGGCAGCGCGGACATTGTTGTTGAAGGAAAAGGTGGACGCGGAGCGGAGGATAGCAATGTCGTTGTTGAAAACGGCTCCTTGATTAAATTGAGGGTGAACGATGTTCTGGTTGACGTTGTGAACGACACCACCGCTGTTGGCCCAAGTAGAGCCTACACGAATACGCCATCTACTGGCAGCGTCACCACTGCAAAATAAATTTAACTGTTAGGCCTATTACTCTTCGTTAATTGATTTCAAATTTAAGTTCTCCACATTTTAGTTCTTACACGGTGCAGTGAGCAGCGGTGAGAATAGACCGGTTGTTCAAGATGATTCCACCACATTCTTGCCAGTACGAAACCCAGTTGTATGTGTACAATAGAGCAGCAATTGTGGGGTACTGGTCGATGGTGGTCAGTGATCCACCGACGATCCTTTGTGATCTAGATGGAACGGCTGCAAAATAGAATGGAATTTATTTCAAGTTAGTTTTCTGGAATCCTGCCATATAAATTCTTCTTACAAGCATTGCGCCAAAAATTCCCATGTTTATTCATTTACAATAAGTTATAATTATCATTGACTTATTGATTTGATTAACAGATACTATGTGCATTACAGTTAATGCACATACATAGTATCCTTCATGGACTTCAAAAACAACAAACACAAAGTACCGACGACTCACCTGCGACCGCCGCTAAGCACAAAGCCAGAATAGCAAGGATACGCATTTTGTTAGGTTCCTACTGACTCACTACTATACTGATTGAGTTAAATGTTCTAATATTTATATCAACGAAAATTGATTACATTTTATTTTTGGAAAAATTAATCAGTTGTGTAAATCGTCTTATCGTCTATTTTATAATATTAAGAAGACTGTAGATCTTCAATTAGAGATTCATATTTGTAATATTGACCAAATAGTTTTACTAGAGTATTAGGTACATAATTTTCTATATACTGTTGTAGAAATAGCACAAAAGCTAATTGACCGTCAGATCAAACACCGCAATCGGGTATGTATAAACCATATGCTTTGAAAAGATGGTCCTAAGCAAAGTTGGATAGGAATCTTCGGGGGAAAACGAAGGGTTCGCCTTCGTCAAACTTGGCATCACACCGTGATGATGGAAACGGCGAGCATCAGAATGATTAAGCGAGGTAAAGCGTGGAGATGGAGGATCTGTATGTATCTCCTCCTCGGTCCTCTATTTAGAGGACATAGGTTTTTAGGACAAGTAAGTTCAGTATAAGTGACCAAACGTCGACTCTCAAATATAAAAAAAAAACCTAGTATATAATCTTCTTTAGTACCTTAAAACTTTTAATCTATTCATAACATCGGAAAACACATATTAAATTAGCACAAAATCGATAAGCATGGAAACTCCATATTGTGTGACTAACATTATTACTCAACACTTATTCATTATCTTAATCTGAAATCCCTCCCCTCTCTTTTCACTCAAGTGAGAAATTACGTTATTTTTCATTGTTATGCCATTGAGCTGTAACATAACACAACTATGTATACTAATCGTCGTCAGCCACATCATCGCTTACCACCAGTCAAGGTGGTGGCCTATCAAATATAAAATAAAAACTTAAAAGAGTCTATTTAAAAAAACATATTTAACATATTTAAATGAAATTGGATTTATAAGAGGCATCTTACAACTTCTTAAGTGAGTTTTATTGTCTTATATTATTCTTTGTCTTACTTCTCGATACGTGTAAGTTTATAAAGATTTTATTATTTGATTTATTTCATACACGGTGAAATTGGTGTGCTAGTAGCTGGTCGGTGAGTCGTCGGTATTTTGTGTTTATTGTTTTTGAAGTCCCTGAAGTCCCTATGTGCATTAACTGTAATGCACATAGCATCTGTTAATCAAGTCAATAAGTCAATGATATAACTTATTGTATATGAATAAACATATGGGAATTTTTGGTACAATGCATGTAAGAAGAATTTATATGGCAGGATTCCAGAAAACGAATTTGAAATCAATTCCATTCTATTTTGGCTGCT